GAGGGGCCCAGGGAAGGGAGCCAGATGCTGCCCAACACTCTCCTGGGGGGCCGGCAGGGGAGGAGGGGGGTGCTGAGGAGGGACTGGGGCCTTACTGTTCTCTGCTGCCTTCTTGATGCCGGCCTCGTCCTCTGGGGCATCTGGACTCAACCCCATCAGGTCAAACCTGAGGGAGGAGCGGTGTTGGCAGCTACAGGAAGACCCTGGCCAGCCCCCTCCCCTGCAGCTCTCTCAGCAGCCGTCCCTGCCCCCGCCACTCACCAGGAGGGCATCACCATCTTCATGTTGAGTGTCACGGGGATCCGGGGTCTGGGCAGGGGCGGCAAGAAGGGCCATCATGCTCAGAAGGGGTGAGGGAGCCTCAGCAGAGAGCAGGGAGGGGGCAGAGTAGCCCCTGGGGGCCCCTCCCAGCGGGGAAGGCCTGTGTTTAAGGTGTTGCCAGGCAACGTGCCACGTGGGGCTGGAGGCTGGGGCATCAGCAGACAAGCAGAGCCCAACACGGGGTGACGGGGTTCCAGCTCGGTGGGTGAGTACTTGGGGAAGGGGCACAGGAGGTCCCCGGGTCCAGGAGGCCTTAGGGCTGGGGGACTGGGGGGCTGGGGCTGCAGGCTCTGCGGGACTGAAGGCTGAAAACGGCACTTCCCACTGCCCTGGGCCCAGGCCGCAGGATGCAGCTGGCAGGAGAGAACAGGCCTGGGACCACAGGACACACCCCCCCCCCAGCTTATCCCCATCCTCAGCCCCTCCTTTGCTAGGGTGACACTCACGCATGGGGACAGATGTACTTGACGTGAGGGAGCCGGATGGTGGAGAGGGCGTCAGCCCAGCTGTGCCTGTAGGAAGGAAGGGAAAAAAGGCACCGATGTGGGGAGGGAGAAAGGAGGGCGCAGGCCTCTAATCCTGCCCGCTGGGCCCTTCCCCACCTTCCCAAAGAACACCCCCCCTCCAGCTCACTTACCCTGTGTCTCCGAGTCCATGTAAAAAAATAACCTGCAAGAGGGTGAGACATGGGGATGTGGAAAGAGGGCAGTCCCCACCCTGCTCTCATTCCCCTCTGGCCTCCAACTTCTGGCCCCGATCACCCCCAAGGACCTAGGGGGAAGTACAGTAGCAGCCAAACAGGGTGTTAACTCCCTGCCGCCTGGCTGCAGGCTGCTCCCATCTCAACACCGCATTTCCATTTCTGGCCTGGGGGCTGCTGAGGGCAGGAGGGGACCTTACCGCAGCCGTTTCCCGCTCAGCTCCAGACACAGTGGCAGCATCGGTGAGCAGGGGCACAGACATGGTGTTACCGCACATACACTGCAGGGCTCCACGGCTGGGGCCTGGGCAAAGTTGGGGGGAGTGGTCAAGAGCACGACCAGGCAGGGGACAGACTGCTGACACGGGACAAGAGCCTCAAACCCCAGGCCCACTCAGGCCGTCAACCCCCCCTCCAAGTACCTGGGTTCTGTCCTGGCCACAAAGAAAAGGCAAGAAGTCCCAGGCCAGAGGCGGTAGGAAGTTTGCCTCTATTATTCCAGGGCTGAAAAGCAGAGGCAGCCACCCAAGTGTCCCCGGTTCTGGCCCAACCCCTAGCCTGAGCTTGCTGGAGACGGAGAGGGGCAGAAGTAGGGCTTAGGGATGGTGGGGGAGGGGGAGCCAGGTCACCCCCTGCTGTCGAGCCCCCCCCAGCTGCCTCCTCCCTGCTCTCCAATCAAGAGCCCCCAGGCCCTCCTAACCAACTCCCAGCCCTACTGGGAAATGAAGGGGGGGATGCCAGAAAAAATATGCTTTCAGCCCCTACCCCCAACCGCCCCACACATTTTCTCCAACCTCTCTCCCATCCAGCCCCCACCCAGCCTTCACAAGCAGTTTCTGGCTCAGCCATTCCCAGATCCCCAGGGGGCTGCCCTTGTCTCCAGCAGGCCCACGAACTCGGGTCCACCAGCCATAACTGGCGCCCCACACCCCGCTGAATGGTGCTACCTGCTGCTGCAACTGCTCACGGAATCCAACCAGGTCCCCCAGTCTGACCGTGCTCTGGGACTCCCAAACACACAAAAGAATGTGAGGCTGGCTGGCTCCTCCCCATCCTTAGCATCCTCCAAAGTCCCCAGAAGCTTGTGCAACCTGTTCCTAAGCGCCCACCCTTGCCAGCGGCGCCCACCCTCCCCACTGGCTTCAACCTTCCATTTCTGACCGAGTGCACCTCTCCACGTGAGACCCCTCACCTCTGACCCTGGGGTCCCTCTTCCCACACGGGGATGCACCTTTCGCCCTAAGCTGGGACTCCCTTCCTCAATGGGAGACTTCCACCTCTCACCCCAGGGTCCCCCCTCTCAAAGTAATGCCTTCTCCGCGGACCAGGGAAGGGAGCTCCCCACAGTAACAACTTCCACTCTAATCCAGGGTCTCCCACTCCCTATACTGGGAATGTCTGTTCTGACCAAGGATCGCCCCCTTCCCACAGTGACACCTTCCCACAGTGACATTTTCTACCCTGACCCAGGACCCTCTCCTGTCCACAAAGGATTGTTCTACTTTTGACCCTGTGGGGCCCCCGCCCCACAATAGGATCTTCCACTTTCCACCTCAAGTCCCTCCCGTCATAGCCGGGCCGCCTTCTCGCCCCTCTCTACCCCCAAAGTCCCCAGGACTGGCCAGCGCCTCTTCGCACCTCACTCCCCACCCCCATCCCTCACAACTGCGGTCCCCTCCCCACTCTCCGGGACCCCCGCGGTGGTCCGATCTCCCCCCAGTGCCCTCCCTCCGCCGCCTGGCCCCGGACGAGGGTACCTCCACTCCCTGGGGGTTTCGAGACCTCTCGGGCGACTCTCCTCTTTCTCCTGCACAGACACACTCTCTTCCCCCTCGGCCGCCCCCGCCGGAACTTCCGTTCGAGTCCCGGGAACCCAGCCATCGCGCTGCCGGAAGTAGCCTGGCCAGCGGTACGGAACCCGGAAGTGGGCGTCGGCGATCCGCCAGATAGGAGCTGCCATGTTGGATACGGTGGGGCCGCTCCCCGTAAGGAAGGCAGGGAGTCGCCTGCAGAATCTAGATGGCGCGTCGGGAATTCCCGCTTGCTGCCACCACCCGTGCGCCTCCTGGAGGAAAGCCCTCCGGAAGGGGTGGCACACCTCTCCTAGCATAGTTTCCCACGCTGTCGTCTTGGATATCCGCCACTGGCTCTAATGCCGTTTCTGGATGGACTCATACTCAGAATGACCCAGGACGTATCATACACTGGAGGGATGGAATCATACACATAAGACACCCTTAGAGACCATCTAGTCCTCCACTCTTACTCTAGAGAGGAGGAAACTCACGCTCGGGGCGGGGAGGAAACGGCAATCTCAGGACAACACTGTACTGCTGCCTCTCGGCACCTGCTTCCTGAGCTATAAAACACGGTGATAACCACCACCCTGCCTCCTTCACAGCTTTGCTGTTAGGCTCAAACGAGGTCGTGTGGAAATGCCTTGTACACTGTAAAATTACAGTGTGAGGGCATAGTGACTAAAAAGGACCCTGGGAAAACAACACAGGTCACATCAGGACAGCTGGCCAGGCACTGGCCGTGCTGTCTTAGCTCTGCCTCGACAAGCAATGCCACGCAGACGGTGCACAAAGTACCATCAATGAGCTCCAGTTGTTAAGAACAAAAAGGGCTTCATTTTGTCCCCATTTTGCTGTTTGCTGCACTGATAAAGTGGAAATGGGCTCAGGGTCCACAGAAAGGCTGGAAAGGGAGGCAAACAGAGTTGAAGGGCCACGTCCCTAAGGGAACAGGTGGGCATCTGCAAACAGGAAATGAGTGACAGCGGTTCTTCAGCAGCTTAGGACTCATTCTCCCAGCATAACCTACAGTAGCTGTTCTTTGAACTGTAAGAACACCGTCAACTTGGGAACTCCAAAGCACTTTCCCCAGGCCAAGAGGCAGTTTGGTCTTAGGTGTTCAATAGGTCACAAAGAACCTAAAATACCAGGATTCCGAGCAGGAAATCTTTGGGTCCCAAGAACTGCAACAAGCCGATGTTCCAGACCAGACGTCAGAGAGGGACAAGTGCTCGAGACCAAGCAACTGCCCCCCGTGCAGGATCCCCACGCAGGCTGCTTATGGAAGAGTGAACAATTCCTCCTGCACCCCCAATCGCCCAGGATCCTGGGGCACTTCACAGTCTTGAACAAATTCTTCAGAGCGAAGCTTCCAATTCAGAAGCCCAGCCCAGGGGCTACCTGTGACTAGGCTTTAACTAGTGGATTAATGAAGGGATAGTCTGCTCTAAGATTTTTTAACTTATTCTTCCCCCTACTCCAAATTTAAAGACATAGCCTTTATTTTTATCTCCAAAATGATCCAACCGAAATAAAGACACTGTGGCTGAGGAATAGGTCCCTTAGTGCATCAAGAATTGTTTTTGTACTCTGGGAGATTTCAGGATGCATTTCAGAAATCTTGAGGTTTGAAAAAATGGCGGCAGCAGGCTTTCCATTGGACAGGCTGGAGAAACAGTGAGGGCCAACACTTTCAGGAGAATTCTCTCAAGAGGATCAGATTCAACACTAATTCCCATTATCCACTATTTCTGTTTTCTGCAAAGGAGAGAATCCTGACCATCTCAGATCTCATTTTAGATATTTAAATTCTCTCCAATTGCTATCTTGACTTACAGAATTTAAGTCCAAAGTCTTGGGTCTGCCATGGGCTGCTCACTTGCTCTTCTTTCTTCTGGTGAGTTCCAGAATCACTCCGCAAGTTAAATGTCACTCCACAAGTTACTTCCTCTCATGAGAAATTGGACATTGGTTTATAACTTCACGTTCCTCTTTACAAAGTGTGGGTGGGTGGTTATAGCAGTATTTTTGGTCCACTGTACCTTTCCTGGAGAAATGATCTAGTCTTGAATATCACTGTAGCACTTATGATCTACCTAGTACAAAACAACAACAAATTTCAAAGTTCCTGTAAAGTAAAAGTTTCATCAGGACTACCAAAAAATCAAAAGAATATACAAACATGAAGTCCAGCAAAGATTTATTAGGAAGCTTATTAGTTACGGCGAATAAAAAGCCATGAACAGAAAAACAGATCTCCAATTTCTGGCACTGTGCTTGTGACATTAGTTAGAAGCTAATAAACATGAAGGATGTCCCAAGGGAATCTTGCCTAGGTCCCAATCTTATCCAACCAGGATAGCTCACCCACACAGAAACGATGCCCATGCTCTCCCGAGACTGCTTACCTAGGCAGGGAGAAAGGGAGAAAGACCTACTCCTCGAGCTATCAGGCACCACCAGGGCATTCCTGCTCTCCTAGCTTTGACCATGGGACACTAGTACGTGACAGACAACTCCAAGCTGGGCAACTTGACAAGAATGCTGAACACTGACAGGAAGAAGGAGCAAGCAGGGACAAGTATTTCTAGTTGGAGACCCTCCTGATGGCTAATAGAAACACAGTGCTGAGGCTTCAGAAAGTTTACTGCAGCCCAGGAAATAGTTTCCATTAAAAAAAAAAACAAAAAAAAAAAACCAAGTCACACAAAAATCCTGCCACAAAGCAACAAGACACTTGGGATCCCATGGCCACACTGACTGGGAAGCCAGGCCAAAGACTGCCAGATGCTGACCAGCCCCAGACGCAATTTCTAGGCCCTAGAGAACCACGACTATCCCTCAGCACCCACACAACCCTGCCTGGTGGTGTGGTATCTCCTGCAGCAAGCCCCAAAGACAAAGCCTGGCAGAGGCTGTGGCACCGACTCTCTCTGGACCCCCAGCTCTTTGTCCTCCCCAGCAGGACGCTGTACATCTTCGCTGACACAGTGCTTCTGTGGGAGCCCTGGGCAGCCTTAGGAAATGAAGTGTGTCTGTGGGGTAACCTGGTGGACCCTGTGGTCTGCCGGGTTGGCTGAGGCTTCATAATTGCAGATGGTCACCTCGTGTCGGCGAAGCTGCAAGAAAAGGGAGAGGCTGGGTCAGCTGGCCATTTCCCAGACCATACCCTGGAGTCGTCGTCCTTACTCAGGTTCACTGCTGGAAGCCATCTCTTCCCCCTTCTGATACATTTATCCTAGAAAACTGCAAAGACTACATCCGTGATTCACCCCATAACTCAGAAGACCCAATCCCCACTGTAATGGTGCCACCATGAGAACAGCACCTTGTCTAGCTTGTTTATCATCTTATCTCTGGTGCCTGAAACAAGAAAGGTCATCAAAAATGTTGAATGAAGAAAAGAATCTTAGAGTGAAAAAAATGAATTGATATCAATTGTATTATTTCAACTCCCTTAAAAATACTGAGAGCCCATCAAAGCAGATGGACAGTGTACAGTAATGAAACCAAGAAAAATTACAAACAGACTGGGAGCAAGCAGTGTCTCACCTGCTCTTTCCTTTCCCTAAAGCACCCACATGGCAGCACACAGATGGATACACACACACACACAAACACACACCCACACACTGAGGGGTCAGGAATTCCTGCCCCTTCTTACCTCAGTCCACTCTCCTCTCAGGCCAATATACAAGACCTTCGTGGTATCAGCTCCAAAGTTTTTTGAAATATGAATTGAAAGATGATAGACATTTGAAAAACGAGAAATTCTAGAGAATGAAGGGGGTGGGGAGAGAAGACACAGGTTAGAGTTCAATGAATATCTCAGCACCCAGTCAGAAATAATTCTAGCTCCAACTTGTAAAATCTGGGCAAATGTCAGAGAAAACTTGGGGCTCTTAGGTCTCATTCTTCCTTTCTGGATAAGCAATGGATTCAGCAGACACAGCCAGGGCATCTGCCAGATCCTGCCCAAGGCAATAAGAATAGAAAAATGAGTCAACACCGCCCTGCCCTCAAGGAGCGGGAATGAGAAATGCTGTGCGACCAAGCAGCGATTCTGCTGCAAGTTCAGTGTTGATCTCACCAACCAGGAAACAGAGAGAGCCAGTGAAGAGCTAAGGTGGTCATGTGTAACGTGGCCTGTTGGAAGCCCACTGTGCAAAGAGAATTCTGAAAACGTATTTCCTAAGACCACCCTAGGAGCTCACTCAGATCTGTCGCTGCTTACAAACTGAAGAGGCCTATGGCTTGCCCTGCATCTCTGCCAAAAACTGACTGAGCTGAGGATCAAGCTTCCCTCCACCGTTTTAACTAGTTTCTGCTACAAAGAAAGCAGGAGATGGGCCCAAACTCAACTGCAAGCTCAGTAAGTGCTAATGCACATGTGTGTTCACTGCCAATGAACGCCTGCTGTTCCTCAGAAACCAGAGAATGGAGACAGGTTCAGTGCTTACTTTGTAGCATACTCTAATTCTCCCGTAAGATCCCGATTTAGACTAAAGGTCTGATCTGGCTCCCTGTCTGTATCATCAAAGGACATCTGTGGAATGTTTTTGTACCTGAGAAAGGAAAGGGAAGAAAAATCAAGAAATGTGCATTATCATACTTTTCAGTTTTTCAAAACTGCCTATTGACTCAACTGCCTTCAGTTCTATCAAAAAAAGATCAAATTTTAGGAATGGCATTTTACTGGCATTTATACACAAGTATCTTTAAACTAGCAAGAAAAGAGCTGAGAACTGCAACATAAGCCAGCGGCATCTCTGAGTGGGTTAAGATCACATGAGACGCAATATACAAAGAGAAGGCTCAGACCAGGTCACATGCAGCAAATGCATGGAGAAAACCAGCAACTCTGCACATTCAGACCAAGCTGAGGAGGTTAAACAAAACAGCTTACTCATGGGAAATACTTTGGCAGAAACATATCAAACACAGTTAAGAGATAAGAGCAGGTCACTTAACACTCAAGCAATCTGTGTGTTCAAAATTCCCTATACATGGAGTCGTCTTAGAGTTCTGTAAAAACATAGTATCTGGGGGTTTCCATTTTGAAAAGACCACAAAAGGTTGCCAGCTCACAACGGGCTTTGGAAAGTCAAGTAAAACTGCTTGTGAAGAAAAAAATTTTCAAAGAAATATCTAAGAAACAGCTGTCTCCTCTTTAACTCACAGATTCTCAAGACCTGAGCCACACCCCCACCATCTCTAGAGTGTTTTTATTAACACACCCACACGGAAGGGGCCTAGATATAAGCGGCAGGAAAATGCATGTAATTTAATAAAGCAAATGTTTGCTTCAAAGTGTTCCTAAGAATGATGCACAGAATAATAACAGTGGACGTTTATGAGTAGCATTATGAGAGGCAGTGTAGTGCTGTAGTTAAAAGCAGTGTCTCTGGAACCAGACTTCCTAGGCTTAAAGCCTGGCCCTGTCACTTCCCAGCTGTATAATTTTGGGCAAGTTGTTTAACCTCTCTGTATCTGTTTCCTCATTTAAAAACTGTGGATAGTGATAGTACATATCCAATACAGTGTTGAGGTTACACTGAATCAATGCTAAGATACATAGACTTAAAACACTTTCCTATGGGAAATTTCAAATTATACAGAAGTAAAGAGAAAAATACAATTACTCTACCTCCATTTATCACTCGACTTCAATAATGAACATTATGCCTATATGCTATCATCCCCATTTGGTTTGTGCTTGGTATTTTAAAGTGATCCTAAACATCTCACTTCACTCCTACTTTAGTACATATTTCTGAGAAGTAAAGACTTCTTAAAATGCCACTGTTAAAAAAGTGGTACCATTTTACAAAAATTAACAATAATTCCTTAACATCATCTAACACCTAATCTGTGTTCAAATGTCACTAAATACCAATTTAACTCTTCCAGATGTTTCAGTGGCATGTCACAGTTGAAGAGGCAATCTTTTTTCTTTATTAATGGTGTAAAAGATATATCAACAGCATCTTAGATTCAATGAAGTGTAACATACATAAAGTGCTTAGATCTGACGTCTTACGTTAAGTATTTGTACCTGCCCTCCCAAAATGGCGCACTTATTAAGTTCCAGACTTATTCTAAGCTCTTTACATGTTATAGATCATTGAATCCTCTCTACAATCTTACGAGGTTCCTACTATTACTGCTGTCATTTTACACATGAGGGCACCGAGATAAAGAGAAGGTAAATAATGGCCCAAAGTCACGCAGCTGGTAAGTGGCACAGACAGAACTGGAACCCACGCTGTGTATTCCAGAGCCCACTCTTAACCACAACGCAACACGGATTTCTAGTTTTCTCGAGCCAATCCGTCTCCCCAGTAAACAAGTCTCCAAAAGCATCAACTCAAACGTACTGTTTACTTAAAATGATTAAACATGTGGGTTTGCTTTCAAATTCATGTTTCTAACATTCAAAAAGGGTCAATTTCTTAAATTTTTCATTCAAATGTCTTCAGAAGAATTTTTTTTAATGAAAAGTTCTTCTGGTGTTTGTTTCTCCAGCACTCAGAAGTTTCCCCTTCTTTCGGGAGGGCTAGGCTGGAACAACGCAAGCTGTCACATAGGGGGCACTAGCCCTGGTGGCAACAGATTCCTGTGCCGCAGGAGCTGTACAGAACTTTGCTCGCTAAAGGGCGTGCATGCTCACAGGGAGTAATTCCACGTAAACACAACACACGCAAAGATTTTTAACTGTGTGAAAGACCAAGGGTACACCTGGAACCTAACCCCAGTAGAAACCATACAGATCTTTTGCGATTTGCAGCTGGGTTACTAAGGAAACTGCAACGTCATCAACAATTGGCATTTATAGGATGCTCTCTGGATGAATGGCTGGCACAGCAAGGACTCTGAAAAGACACAAGCTGTTGGCCTTAAAGACACTTAATCTTAAAAAGTCGTTAATTCAGGAAGAGGTAAGTGTACCCTGATGCAGACCAAGACCAAGATTTTTAAGAGGGGGGGAGGGGATAGTTAACCCAGTAAAAAAGAAAAAAGCATATTATTCTGGAATACAGTGCTAGCAGAGAAAAGAGAACTCAGAGGCTCCTTGAAGGCCTAAGCCCTTGCCACTTACAGTCTCATCTCTGAGGGGTGTGAGTCATCATCCTCTCCCATTATAATGATGCCTTTGAGCTTGACATTGCCTGTAAATCTGCCAGAATGCAAAAGAAGTTGTCAACCTGGGTTTGAACTACTGCTCAGCTGTGTGACCCCAGACAAGACCCTTCCCCTTTCTGGGCTTCGGTTTACTCATGGGTCGGGTTAACTGTGCCAGAAAATTGCTAAGATCCTGTCTGCCTCTGGCATTCTGCAGTTCTAAGAAACATACCATGACTTCTCGGTTATCTTTCAACCAATACATCTTTCTGCTCTCCTCCTCACACCCACCACACCGTAATCTCCCCCCATTTCTAGAAACAGATGTGTGCTCTGGACACAACCAATGAATGAATCCTGATAAGGAGTCTGGGTACAAGCCTATCTAGCCTGAGGCAAACACCAAGGAGATACTTACGGAATATTAAACAGAAGCTCTTCATCGGCATCACTTTCAACAAACTGGAGGGGATGGGGGGTGGGGAGGAGAAAGCAACAAATATGTGCTGAGAGCCTACAGTTTTAGGCATCTTCCACCCTGCTCTGCGCCTGGGAGTGCAATGCAAATAGCCGACCTCCCTGGGGTTTTCAGCCCTTACTAACTTGATGCTAGTAAGTTAGTAGTCTACAGACCATCCTCTCAGAGGGTTAAACAGGGAACCCACGAATGAACCTTCAGGCACAGCTAGCCTGAAATTGTGTGCAAAACTGTGCGCCTACGGGGTCCACAGCTTTCAGATGGCTGTGTGACCCCACAACGGTAAATGCTCTGGACAGGGTAACACGCTCCACCTGCCTAGCCTGTCTTTGGTCTTCATCAGGTGATATGATCAGGCCGCCACTGGGACTAGTAGTCAAACAGGAGGGAAAACGCCCTCACGGCCATACTCCGGAAAGCCCTGGAAGAGAATGTCGGCTTCGTAAAGCCAAAGCGCCCCTTTCCCTCTCCGGGACTCAGTTCCCCTACCTGCAAAATGGGGAGACTCGACGCTGTTTCCCTCCCAAGAGGCGGGCAGAGTGACAGGCACGGGAGAGCGCTTGGCAAGCGGGCTGTCGTTATTTTTAACAGCAGGACTGAGGCCGACAAAGCAGACGGGAGGCCTGAGGCCCCGCGCGGGTCCGCGCCTCGCCCGCCCGCCCGCCCGCCCCAGGCTCCGAAAGGCCCACCTTGGAGCGGTCGGTCCGCTCCTCCCACGGCTTGAAGACGCCGCGGCCGCTGCCCTCGCGACTCTCGTTGAGGCACTGCAGCCGCTCCAGGTCGATGCGCAGGTACAGGCCGTAGGCCAGGCCGCGCTGTTCGGGCGGCTCCTCCCGCTCGGCGGCGCAGCGACAGCCGCCCCCGCCGTGGCTGTGGCCGTGCGACATGGCGACGCCGCCGTCCGCGCATCCCCTCGGCCCCGCCGCCGCCCGCGCCGCCCTCGCTCCGCTCAGCTCCGCCGCTAAGCGCGCCGCGGCCGCCGCGTCGTAAAAGGCGCCCCTGTGCGGCGCATGCGCCCGGGGCAACGGGGGGGCGGGGCTCCGAGGGGGTGGCTTGATGTTTGATAAGCGCTTCCAGGTGCCCAGGGGCTCGCGTGGACTCGGGCCTGGAGTCGACGGGTCCCGCTGCTCTCCCCGCTTCTCAGGTGTGGAAACTGAAGCGCAGAGAGATTAGGCTGGCGTTCCAGTAAATGATGGGGCTGGAATTCCAATCGTCTTCCTTCCCCATTAGGCTAAAGGCTGTGATCTTTCGCCATCGTTTTTGGGGCAGCTGGTCGAGGAAAGCGTGTACAGCGATAAGGTCCTGAAGAGCTGGGGGCACGTTATCGCTGCTTCACACGTGCGCGTGCAGGCACCCAGAGCTCACACTCCCACTGCAGAGTGGGCTTAGCGGCCAGAACGACCAGATCTGGAGCCAAGTCCTGGGTCCGCTACTGACAGTGTGACTCTCTGAATAAGTCATTTTCCCCATCCCGAGACTTCCTTTTCTCACCTGAAAAGTGGGAATGATAATGTTTCATAGAATCACGCTGAGTATTACACGAAATCATGAAGTGAAAGAACGCGGCACAGCGGCTGACACATGGTTATAGCTGAGTCAGATCTTGGTTCACATCCCAGCACTGCCAACCTGCTAGCTCTGTGGCCTTCCGCAAGTGACTTAACTACTCTGAGCCTCAGTTTACAACTTGTAAGGTGCAAGAATTGGACTAGATGACCTTTAAGTCCCCTTGCCGTGTGACATATCAGAGCAGGGTTTTTTGTTTTTTTTTTTTTCCAAATGGCTGGTTGTGACCTTAAAATCTATTTAGAGGATTGCGACCAGCATTAAATAGAATATAATTAAAAATTCAAAACATATCACACATTCTAAGTCTCAACGTATAGAACTTTTATTTCAGTTTTGGGTTTGAGTGCCCAGGTGCAATGTAAAATGTTTTTCATATTATGCGCAGCAGTCAAAAGAATTGGCAGCCACTGTTTAGAGCTGAAATGATTTTGGATTCAGGGTCAAATGCGTTCTTACTGCTGGTGAGGAGAGGGAAAGACTGAGGATGTAGAAGGAGTTATGGGGTACTCTGGATATCCCTTGCCCTTCATGTGTGGTTCTGGAGTGTTCGGACGAGACTGGGGGCTGGTGAAATACAAATCAAAAGATCCATCTGTTCAAGTGCCATTCAAACATATTTTGATGTCCTAGTTCAATTTTGTGTGAAAAAGGTGAGCTGGGTTCTGGTTCAGAACAGCACAATATCATAAATTATTCTTGCGTTCCTATCACAGTTCAGGCCTGGGGCCTGGCACATAGTAAACACTTCAGTAAATATTTGTTTAAGTGAGGGACACCTGGGTGGCTCAGTTGGTTAAGCGTCCGGCTTCAGCTCAGGTCATATTCTCGCAGTTTGTGAGTTCAAACCCCGCTTTGGGCTCTGTGCTGACAGCTCAGAGCCTGGAGCCTGCTTTGGATTCTGTGTCTCCCTCTCTCTCTGCCCCTCCCCTACTTGCACTCTGTCTCTCTCTCCCTCAAAAACAAACATTAAAATTTTTTTAAATATTTGTTTAATTGAATGATACTCTCAATGCCTTTCTTTGGAAAGACCATGTCCCACCACAGGACTAACACAGGCCTTTCTACTTACTTACTACTTACTACACAGGTCAGGATATCTACTCACTTCTGGCTTCTTTCCTGCATTTTCATCATTGTCATCCTTTACTGATTTATTGAGCACTAATGTGCCAGGCACTATACTCATGATTTTGTAGATTACCTGGGCAATTCTTTTTCTGGGCCAGTTTGGCTAGGTCTGGATCATTTGGAATGGTCTCCCTCACATGTCTGGTTAATGTCGGCTGTTAGTTGAGGTGATGGGGCCATGTGCCTCCAGTAGGCTACCTGAGCTTAGTCACATGGTAGGAGCTATAGAAGCAAATACGAGTTCTAGAAGCAAGAGAAGGAAGACCCAATTACACAAGCACTTTTTAACCCTGGCTTTTGTTATTTTTGCTAATGTGCCATCAGCCAAAACAAGTTTCATGGCCAAATCCAAATTCAAGGGTGGAGATACGGACTTCACCTTTTGGTTGGAAGAACTACAAAACGTTGTGGCTCCTTCCCCCCTCCTCCCCAGTATATCTGTATTAATGATATTTTGTTGTGTAAAATAACAGTTAACATGTATCTCACTGCTTCTCTGAGCCAGGAATTTGGGAGTGGCTTAGCTGGGTGGTTCTGGCTTAGCTCTCTCATGAGCTTAGAGTCTTTCAAGGCTTGACTGGGACTAGAGGGTCCACTTCCAAGATGGCGCACTTACATGGCTGGCAGGTGGCTGCAGGCTGTTGCCTGGAGGCCTCAGTAAGTTGTCATATATACCTCTCCATAGGACTGCTTAAGACACGAGAGCTAGCTTTCACCAAAGCAGAGAGAACAAGGTAGAAATCACAATGTATTTTTATGAGCTAGCCTTAGAAATTACAGTGTCAGTTCTGAAATATCCCATGGTTCCACAGGTCATCCAAATTCTAAGTGTGAAGGAATTATGTAAGGTTATGAATGTCAATAAACAGAACTCATTAAAGACTGGCTACCACACTACCACACATGTTAAGTGACTGTTGACAGTGTCTTTACTTTTCTCTTATACTTAATTGGTAACTTGAAGATAAAATTCATTTAGACTTTTGAAGATATTGCTGTTTTCTTCTAGCTTTGAGAAGTACAATGCCATTTTGATTCCTGATTTTTTTATATGGGGTGCACCCCCCCCCACCCGCTCTCTTTCTGGAAGGCTTTAAGATTTTCTTTTGGTCCGTAATGTTATAAAATGTGATGATGTTCTGCTTTGTTGTGGCTTTTTGTGATCCACTATGCTGGAAATCAGATGGACCCTTTCAATTTAGAAACCTTAGAACAAGGCACCTGGGTGGCTCAGTCGGTTAAACGTCTGACTCTTGATTTTGGCTCAGGTCATGATCTCACGGTCGTGGGATCACACAACGTGGGGTCGTGTCGAGCAATGCGCAGAAAGCGTGGAGCCTGCTTGGGATTCTCTCTCTCCCTCGCACTGCCCCTCTCTTGTTCTCTCTCTCAAAATAAAGAAACGTTAAAAAGGGGGGGGGAGGAAGAAACCTTAAAACAGAACCTGAGCATAAGGTTAGGACATCTGCACACACGTGCACAACGCCCCTTGCAGGGAAACATACTCAGGAGTATGAAGAGAAGGGGAGGGTAGAGGGCGAGATTCCTGCGCTCTCCTTTCTACCACCTTCCAGTGCAGAGCTCCAAGAAGCCCAGAAATTTGAACGTGGCCCTCCTTTCAGGTCACTGTGAAGGTCCATTTTTGAAGGTAGCAGAACAGACTGTATTTTGTACAACAGTTCATGAACTCCATTTATAACTTCTAAAATATGCCTCCAAGTTGTACTTTTGTCCCCGTTTTACAAATATTAGGGTTTGGCCTGCTGGGCAAGTTGCTTAGTTTCTCTTCTCAGATTTGTCATATCTAAAACGAGGATAATAAGAATACCTACTTTGTAGGGTTTTATTACCAGGGTAATATGAGATTATGCATGGAAAATGTTTGGAACAGCTTCTGGTCAGTAGATTGGAAAAGGTTAAATAGTGACTGCTATTAGCAAGGTTAAGTAACACTGCTAAGAGCAAGGCTTTTGACTCAGCGCCCCCGTCTGGTTGGAAGGGGAAACTGCAATTGCTTAAAGGGGCCGAATTTGGAGGGAACCAGCAGTTGCAGAGTTAATTTGGCTCTGATTTAGGAATAATGCCCTTTCACCTCTGCTAACTGGGCTTACTCGGCCTGTCCCTTCTCTTGAACTCCTACCTTGCAGGGATGTCTGAGAACAAATGGAAATCCTCCCTGACTTCTACAACTGCCTGGGCAGATAGGAAAAGTTTCCAGTGTTTTTCCTTCTCTCATTCCCAGGTTCATTGCAAACATTTCTGTGATTCAAGACCTGCTAAATTTGTATTTGTGCTCCTTCTCACCTGACTTAATTAGGCTGGGAGAAACGAACTGTTTTGCTTTTGGATGCCTCCTGTATGGCGAACTAGGAGTGTGGTCAAAATACAGTTAGCAACCACAGAGTTCTAATAATGCACCAAACACTGTCCCAAAGGCTTTACTTACGTTATCTTCTAATCTTCATAATTGCAGGTGTCCTATTATTGTCCTCATTTTATAGATGATAAAACTAGAGCACAGAGAGACTAAGTAACGTGCCCAAGGTCACACAGCTGGTTAGTATTGTAACTAGGATTTAAACCCAAGCAGTGTCCATGCACATAACCACCTTGAACCCTCTCCAAATATTAATTAACATTACTGAGTACTTACTAAGTGCCAAGGCAGGACTCCAGAGCTCAGGCCCTCAACCACCGTGCAGTACTCACCAGCTAGGTTACCTTGAACACTCATTTCCCTCAGAGCTTCGGTCATAACAACAATCCTTTACTAACTGCCCATTCCATGTGGGCCACACTTCACCTTATTCATCGTCAACACCTGGATAACATGTCCTGAACTCTATGTGTCAGGCACTGTTTTAAGCACTTTCCACATTTTAACTCATGACATCATTACTTAATAGCTCTGCCAGGTTGATATATTTTCCTCCTTTTTTGGAGGAAGGAGCAGAGATACAGAGGGATTAAGTCACTTGCTCAAGATCACACAGCTAGGAAGCGTGGGATTTGAAGTTGGGTGGCCTCATGGATTATCTGAGGATCTAGGCTGTTGCGATTACTTTTGGAGTCTTTGGTGCTGTTAGCAAGTATTTCCAGTTCTCTGTGTCCAGGCACACGGAAGGATTGTACTTCCTTATCCCCCTGGATTTAGGTACGATGAAACATGACGGAAATGATGGCGGTCACTTCTGGACGTAGCTTAGTGGCCAGTGCAATATTCTTCATTCGTCTTGAAAACCTTAGCAGCACAGGTGGGTGCCTCCCGGGTCCCTGAGTGAGGATGACATAAAGCAAAGCCCCAGCAGACCCCATGTGGACATACAGTGTCAATGAAAACCAGAACTTTGTTGTTCTGAGCCACCGAGATTTGGGAATTGTTACTACAACGTGACCAAGTCCAGGGTTCCACATCCTCAGCACTACTGACCTTTGGGGTCAGATAACGTTTTGCTTTGGGGGCTGTCCTGCGTTTTGTGGAACGTATAACATTTTTGCCACGTGTCTTAACAGGGGCAACATCACCTCCAGTTAAGAATGACTGCCTAGCCTATCCCAATAGTCTGAGTATCCTGCCAGCCCTAAGTAAACCCTATGATTAGATATGATTTCACTGTTTTATTTTTTAATTTAATTAACTTATTTTTGAAGGAGAAAGAAGAGAGGGAGAGGGAGAGAGAGCAGGCTCCATGCCCAGCACAGAGCCCAACGCGGGGCTTGATCCCATGACAGTGAGATCATGACTGTAGCCAAAATCAAGAGTTGGATGCTCAACCAATTGAGCCACCCAGGCACCCCCGTTTCATTGTTTTAATATGCTGTTAGATTCTGCTAATATTTAGGGTGGTCATGCCAATACTCATAAATAAGTTTCATCTGGTGTGGGGGTTTTTGGGTTCTATCTTTATCCATCTTCCATGTCAGTGTTATACTAATTTCAATAGAACTTTCCTTCCTTTTCTTTGCTTTGGAGTAGTCTAAGTGGCACTGGTGTTACCTGACTTTAAGGGTGAAAGAATTGCCCTATGAAATCATCTCAAGGAGAGGCTCCACAACTGTTTTGTCTCCTTCTTCTGTGGTAACTAGTCTGTTTAGACTTGGTACCTCTCAATTTTGGTAACTTGCTTTTTTCTGGAAAGTTATCCACATCAGGTAGTTTTTCTGATCTGTTTCATACAGCTGTGGCACAGGGTTTTAAAAACAGAAATTTTACAAAGAAGTCTAGATTTCTGTCTTTTCTTTAAAATTCCAAAGATGTTGCTCCAGGTGGAGCTGGGTAAGTAGCTTTCATTTCCTGTTTCCACCCATTCCTCCTACTGTCTTATGCCAAATGCCTGGCAAGTGAGTTTGTGATTCCTGATACAAGAAGAAGTTAGGTGGTGTCTGCTTCTTTCGTGGCTGTTAGGAGCTATAACATAAGGGCCTGAAAGAATAGATAGGAGTCCAAAAACAGAAAAGCTGTCTGGGGCAGCATGGACTAGGATTTGAGTTATCAGGAAGGAGTTGCTGACCTCAAAGTAGTTCTCAGCTCGTGACCCTAAACTCAGTTCCCATCAATAGGAAATAAAGCTTTTCCTTTCATTCCATATTTAGAGGGAACAAAGGAAGGACATTAAAATGAATTGAGCTCATTGAATCCTTACCAGAATTCCTATGGGGTGTGATTATTCCCATTTTACAGGTGAGGAAACTGAGTCAAAGAGGTGCCACAAAGCTAAAGGATGATGGAGCCTGGATGTGAACCTGGACCTGACTCCTTTTAAAGCTCATGAATTGTTTTTCCATTACACTAGGCATTTCCAAACTAGCTGCTCCTCGAACTCACTGGGGAAGGCCTATGAAAAGTACTTATCTCCAGATCCTACTTCTGACCTATTTGAACAGATTTCTGCGGTGGCAACCAGAAATCTGTATTTTAAACAATGATTTATAGTTATCTGATTATGGTCTCCTCTACTAGATGGAAGCTCCAGGAAGGTAAGGGCCATGTCTGTCTGATTCAGGCACACAGAGCGGGGGCGAAGTGTGTACTGTGACCAGATGTGCAAGCTTCCCCGGCCTGACCCATGGGCCAGCTGCAAAGAGCTTGTGGCAAATTAGCCAGAGTAGTTCTCAAACTTTTTAATAATTTGTCCATTTTAAGAATTACTTATTATTGGGCACCTTGGTGGCTCAGTCGATTAACCATCTGACTTCAGCTCAGGTCATGATCTGACGGTTCATGGGTCCGAGCCCTGTATCAGGCTCTGTGCTGACAGCTCAGAGCCTGGAGCCTGCTTCAGATTGTGTCTCCCTCTCTCTCTGCCCCTCCCCCCAGTTACACACTCTCTCTCTCAAAAGTAAACATTTAAAACAATATATTTTTTTTTAAATCCACACTCTGGGGCCCCCAACCCCAGAGATTCAATACTTGAGAAAAACAGTTGTAGCTATATAAAATGTTGATGTCTGAACTTCCCACAGAAGTTTCTGAGAGGGGTGGAAACAGCAGGCATCACAGAAAGGGAAGTCCAGGAGCCTGTGAAGACAAACTGCCGTTCCCACTTAGCCAAAGAATCCGAGAGAGACTCAAGTGGCTGTGGAACCCTGGTGGAGATGGTCTGCGAAGGGGACATCTGTCAAGGTGATAAGCCAGCTAGAGGGTTCTTTTGGGCATTGATTTCCCATAGCGGAGAGAAGAAATCATTGTTAGCCAACAGTTAGGGCATCTTTTTGCATCGGAGGTCAGCTTTGCCCCAGCGGCCCAACTTGGGTAAGTGTCACCGACTGCACGTGCTTGGGTGAAAGGCCAGCACAGCAGCACTGCTCACTGCCACTCACACAGTGTCAACTTGTACACTGTAACTTCTCTGTGCTTCAGTGTCCTCATTTTAAAAACGGGGGCCTGACCACCTACCATGAAAGCTCATTGCGGTAACTGAGCCAGTGTCCACGAGTCAGAGCAGTGCCTTGCCCCCCACCCCCCGCCGCCATGGTAGGTGCATCCCCAGTGGGCCCAGTGACCCTTACTGGACTGTGCGTGCCAGACTCGTGTGCCACTGTGTATCCCAGGGTCTAACCCAGGTGCTGGCTCTGCAAATGCTGAATTAATGAGTAAGGGACAAAGGCCTAACTTACAGACTCCGGCTAAAGTCATCCACCAGATCCCGTGTTCCATCATTTACTTTAATGTATAGAACTTCTTATGGTGAGAATTGGCTCCAGTAAAGTGGGGAGAGGTAAGCACACACCCCAAGAATGCCCTCTTCAGGAGAGAAGAACAACAATGTGCTGCTGGGAGATGTAGGTTTGATGGAAGATCTGATTCCAATGTCTGCAGGGGCTGCACCCAGGCCAGGTTCCTGGCAGAGCGAACGTGGAGGCTCCTGAGCTCAGCCAGGGCCGACAGAACGCGTAACAAGTCCTCGCTGACACGACCTTTCTGCTTTAGTGGTCATCATGGTCTCTAGAGTCCGTGGAAGACTGAGGAGAGCTTCCTGGTCCTTCCCCTTCCCTCCCCTCCCGCCCCGTGGCCCACAGGTGGGGCGGCACATGCTTTGCAGAGAATCTGAGTTTCAAATCCTTTGCTGCAGGTTGGCTGTGTTAGTTCATCTTTGAGCCTCAGCTTCGGCTATAATAAAGGGTTAATCTCTCAGTCCCAAGATAACAAGGCACAGTGTCTGGGACCTGCAATGTGCTCATTTTCATGCGTTTCCTCCTTTTGCTCAAGGGTTCTTTCCCCTGAATTCCCATCCCCCAGTCCTGCTTTGTTACAGACCAAAATCCAGCATCCTTTATGAAGCCCAGTCTGGGGATTAAACACTCTGCCCCACAACCCAGGGACCAGACACTTTGTGACCAGCTGCCACCCTAGGACACAAGGAAGGAAGGGGAAGAAGAAAAAAACAGACCACAGTATATGGAGTTTTGTCTTGTTTTTTATTTAGACATGGAATTTTCCTTCCTTTTCATATAACTTATCTAATTAAAATATTCATCTTGGTAGTTACCACAAAAAAGTAACATAGAAAATTGTATTTACATTTTGGGACCAAAATACAAAGGAAGAGCAGGATGGTACCTTGCTCCTTTCCCTCCCACTTCCCCGAAAGAGAAAGCCCCAAAGAAACTGCTCATTACACCAAGGATCACAAAGGGCTAACCTGTAATTTGGTGATTCGTGTGTAGTGTATGTAGCACAGGAAAAAAAAAATTGCACACGTTTTCACAAATGAGACCAAAGTTTCAACATCATCCCGTTTTGTGTCTGCTCTGCAGCCATTTCACGAACCCAGGTGAGAAGGTTGTTCAGAAATTCGGCTTTTTCTCTTCCCTCCTCACTCTTCTCACCAAGTCACATCCCTGACGCAGACACTCTGGGAGAAGGAGGAGGGAAGGATCTGGCTCTACGCAAACAGCATTGATCAAAAGTCTTCATGTGCTAGAAGCGGGTAGCGACGCTGGCATGGACGAATGAGTGTCCTTTCTTTCCTCCCTGCCTAAAGACTCCTGGGAAAGGAAATTAAATCATACACAACCGAATCCGCGCTATGAAAAGCCGGTTTCAATGACGAAGACTGGGACACACAGCTAAGAGACAAATTCGAGCTGGTGGACACCTACGGGCAGCTACTCCAGGCAGCAGCGGTCTGGCACTTGGCCCAGGTGTTCGTTAGGTAAGAGGCTTCCTCACAGCAGATCTGGGGAGCAGGCCCGGGCTAGGGGTGGAGCGGCAATACGAACGATCAAGAGAAATCACGTCTGACCCAATTCAAAAACACAGCAAATGAAAACAGGGCAACACTTGTGTCCTGCTGCACAGGCCTCCTGCCCGGCAACGCACACCGGACAATGCAGGTACTGCTGCACGGGGTCTCTGCCTGCTCTGGAACCTTCCGTTAGCCTAACTGAGGCCTCTGGGATGCTTACAAGCAGTGGACTCCATATTCTGGGGCTCTGAGGGAGCCTGTCAAGGGGACAACCTGCCAGGTTCCGGAGGCTGTCCTAACCACGCCCTTAGCCTACCCCTTGGGTGTCCTAAGGACAGGCACCTCGAGTTTATGGCACCTGCTGCCCCCTGGGTCATAACCAGGTGGGTTCCTACTAGACCAGTGCTCTCCATCAGCCAGGAAGGACCTTGTAAGTGCTGATGTCGCTCCTATGTCAGCTTGAAAGGGAGATCCTCCCTTCTCAAACCTGATGCGTGTCCCCGGGTTCTCCCCCGTCCTGACACTGACAGCTCAGACACTTGGCCCAAGTGGACCGTTCCCTCCAAATTCTGGCTTAAGCACTCAAAAAGCAGAAGAGAGCTTCAGCTGCAAAGTTCTCTGCAAAACAGCAAATCCCTGTGCTCTCCCAATCACATGATCTTACCTTCTAAAGAAAGGCAAAAACAAAACCATTTTCCAACACAGCATTACAACTTTTAAAACCACTCACTTCTATTAGCAGTTCACAGGGAACATGAGATTAAAGTGCTGGCTTTTCAAATTCTGAAGTTGTAGGGGGTTGGGGGTGGGAGTGGGGGGCACAAAAAGCCCTGCCGTGTGTTCGTGTCTCCCCCCTGCAAGCGGGGAGAAGGGAAAATAGGGGAGGAAAAAAAAAAACCTAAAGTTTTGAATCAGAAACTGTAAATTGTAAAAATGTTGGGGTTCTGTGCAAATTGACCCCACAAGTTTCCGTGTCCTCCAGTGAGCCTCAAAAAAGTGGGAACTGGCAAAAAGGCTTGGGGGGGAAAAGACTCTAGACCTTTACAAATAACCTTTAATAAATACTATTTAACGAGGAAGAAAGAGATGCACCTGCATAGGAACTCAAGCAACACTGAGAAGGGCCTCAGAGGGGAGGGGTGTGGCTCGAACACTTCCTGTTCCCCCTTCGAGGCGGCCGTCGAGGGTGGGCAGCCCGGGACCCACTCCTCACCCTCCGTGCAGCAGGCAGCACACAGGCTGTGAGGATGGCCAGCCCTCCCTCTGGAGCAGAGTCCACTCAGGGGAGCTGACCTGGGGCAGGGGAATGGCTTTCACTAGGTTTTTCTCTAACTGTAATAAAGAACCCTGAAAAATAAAAGGCTAAGTATATGGTAGAGGACCTAAAAAAAGGAGAAAAAAAAAAAAAAAGAAAAAGAAAAAGAAAAAAATACTGGGGGTAATATAAATACAATCTGGGGGCAATATTTATTAATTAAAACTATGTCTTAGGTTTACAAAGAAGCTAATTAACAACAAAAGTATAATTGACGACCTTAAAATCCTCAGTAAGCCTGAGGCTTCACATCTTCTTCAGAATTCTGAAGTGTTCTCCAGGCGGGGAGGCAGTGGTCACTGCGCACAGGGTCACAGGCGCCCACACCTGCAGACCGCGCGGGATTCGGGGGCCAAAAGGTTCCTCAGAGCAGAGGATTCTGGTCTCCTCTGGAAGTTCCATTCCCCAAGGCCCACTGTCCTTGTACCCCTCCCCCAAAAATCGTCTCCAAGGCAAGTCCTCAGTTTATCGTCGCGAGAACCTGTTCTTGAAAGCTTTAATCGTCTTGGCCATCATCGGGGCGATTTCTGTGAGAAGAGAAATAAGGCAGTTGTTTGAGGCCGTGGCAGTATAGACACATACTGTGGGTGGTTCACAACCAAGGCCAAGCCTTGCTGCCCCTGGCTCCGCACCACCAAATGAATGGGTACGGCGACAGCCATTTCTAGCACCACGACAAGCTCCACTTGCTGAGCACCATCCCGGGCTCTGATTCCAACCACGTCACCAGCCTCCCGGACACTGGCCGGCTTGCCCCTGGTCGTGCATTAAGCGGAAGGCCTGGACTTCAATACCTACAGGCCAGGCTGGGCCATAATTTTACTCTGCCTCCCTGACATCCGAATCAGCAAAGAGCAGCCCTTCTCCCTCCCGTCCACCCAGTGCAGCAGCAGGTCTGAGACCGCTCAGTGCAGACACCACCTCTGGACGGCTGGCCTGCCCTCTTGGATGAGCACATGAGCACAGAAGCTTCGGCCAACACTTCCACCTGCCCGGGGGCCCTGAAGTGAGTCCAGAAGCAGGCTTTTCCTTTTTTTAATGTTTAGTTTTGAGACAGAGAGAGACAGACAGAACAGAGGAGGGACAGAGAGAGGGAGACTGAAGACCTGAAGCAGTCTCTGTGTTTTAAATATTTATTTTTGAGAGAGAAAGAAAGAGAGAGAGAACGTGAGAGAGAGAGCACGCAAGCAAGAGCAGGGGAGCTGTAGAGAGAAAGGGGGACAGAGGATCTGAAGGAGGCTCCAGGCTCTGCTCTGACAGCGACGAGCCCAATGGGGGGCTTGAACTCAGGAATGGTGAGATCATTACCTGAGCTGAAGTCAGATGCTCAACCAACTGAGCCACCCAGATGCCCCTTACAGAAGCAGGTTTTTAACGACAGGACCTTGGAATACCCCCTTGGAATACTGGGCATAGTCCGTGGTAATAAACTTTATAAAATACACGCAACTAGATATAAAATCTAGCACGCAGGCCCCGTCTAGCACGCACGGCCTAACAGGGCAACAAGGACGTTAAAGGGCTCAAATACTGGCTCTGAAGTACCTGAGCACGAACCCCAGTTACTTACTCTTCACGGTCGGCTTCCTAGGATCACAGGAAGTGGCGCTGAGCATGGGGGCCAAGTGGGAACCGCTGGTGCTCGGACCATCGCGGGCTGGCCCCTCAGGGCTGGCGCTAAAGCCGTTGCCGCCACTGCCAGAGGGGCCATGGCTGTTCCCGGCGGGGTACGGGGCTGGCTTGATCCTGCAACACATGCCAGCTGGTTAGTCCCGAGGGGGACAGATCTGCCCTGAGCACGGACGGCCTGGAGCTGGCCTGAGCAATACCCAGTTCTGCGGCTCTGACCAGTGGACACAAGCACCCTCGAGCCTGGTGCGGACACAGAGAGGAGGGCGTTAGCCCTTCACAATGAATAATCTCAACTGGCTTTTCACCCTTTAGGTGTGAATCCATATTTTTAAAATGTTAACGTGACTTAGCTTATATAGTCAGCACAGCAGCACAGTTTCTTTCTTTTGCTAATTTTTTTTTTAAAAGAATAATCTCTACCCTCAACATGGGGCTCAAACAACTAAGGTCAAGAGTGGCATGCCCCACTGACTGACCCAGCCAGGTGCCCCAGCAGCATGGTTTAAGTGGGGGAAGGGGAAAGGGAAAGCACAAGGGAGGATCTCCCAGAGCCAGTCCTCTTCTCTGTTTAATCTCGACCCTCTGAGAGGTGGGAATAATTATCCACCTACACTGCAGTTAGGGAAGCGGAGGCCCAGGGAGGTCACGTGCTGAGCTGGTCAAGGCTGGCCTCCAGAATCCACTCTGCACGGCCATGCCCCCACCCCCAAGAGTGAACTGCTTCCTGCCCCCTGGGCTGCCCCTCGGGCTGAGCAACAAGCTCCTGGGGCTCCCTCCCCCGGGGACCAGAGGCCCTGGAGCTGCAGACAGCTCACCTAATTTTCTCAGGCACAGCTGCCCCTCCGGTTCCAAACTTCTCCTGTCTCCGCCGAACGTCACGAGGGGGCTTGGCCACAGAGTTGACAAAGGCCATCTTTGCCTGTCGGCCTGTAGAGAAATAATATGGAGATCAATACCTGCCTTTCTGGGCAGAGAGGCTACTGTTCTTTTAATAATCTGCACCGTTAAGAGACAAGACCTTTTCTGGTGCCCTCAAAGCTAGGAGATTATCAGCGCTGAAAACCCCTGGAGGCAGTCAGCGTACTGACAGAAGAAACACTCCATCCCTGCCCCCCTTCTGCAAAAGCCAGACAGACACAGGAGCCAGAGGCTACACGAGCCCAGCCCACCAGGGCCCTGCTGTTCCCCAGAGCACAGGCTCACTGTTTTGCCAGGTCACCCCATCCTGCTGGGTTCCCCTCCGCCACCCCCTCGCCCTCCTTTACCTTTGGGCTTGTTGGCATGTGCGGATCGGATATTCTTCGTCAGTAGTCGTAGCCGCTGCTCCCGGGCATCCTGAAGCCGCAGGTACATCTCCCGCCACGACTCGTACTCTTCCGGCCTTTCTTCCTTAAAGTCTCGATGACAATGAACTTTCCATAATTGATCGGTTTCTTCGATTAATACCTAAAATCAGAACCAGGCCATCATTTACATGTAAGCACTCTGACAGATCTGTTTTCCATCCTTAATCACCTCAAGCTGACTACTTTCCTCCTAATGATTTTATGGTCCTCATCGTAGCAGTAGTATATTAAAATACCACAATTCTAGAAAAAAAAAGTCACTATATCAAAAACACATTAAGGGGCATCTGGGTTAACCCAGGTTGGTTAGGCGTCCGACTCATGGTTTCAGCTCAGGTCATGATCTCGTGGTTCCTGGTGGCACGGAGCCCTGCGTCAGGCTCTGTGCTGACAGCACAGATTCTTCAGCTGTCAGGATTCTCTCCCCCATCGTCTCTGCCCATTCCCCCCCCCTCAAAATAAATAAACTTAAAAACGTTAAGTAAGAGGCACCGTACTCGCTACTTTTGTGGGGTTATGGGACCAGGAGAGAAGACAACACAGAAACTAGCTTAAGATCAGTCTTTTCCTGGAGCGCCTGGGTGGCCTGGGTGGCTCAGTCGGTTAAGCATCTGACTCTTGATTTGGGCTCAGGTCAGAATCTCATGGTTCGTGGGTTCAAGCCCTATGTCGGGCTCTGTGCTGACAGTGCAGAGCCTGATTGGAATTCTCTTTCTCCTTCTCTGCACACCGCCTCCCTTTCCCCCCTCACCCCAGCTCATGCTCAAGCTCGATCACTTGTGCTCTCTCTCAAAATAAATAAACTTTGAAAAGAAAAAAAAGATTAGTCTTTTCCTTTGAGGAAGCCAGTGACGGAGACCTGGAATGAAGTCACATTCCCCAGCACTACTTGCAACTGTGACAGGCAAGGGGTTCAGAATTAGAGACAGCCAGCTAATGTGACCAAATGACCCTTGTGTCCCAGCATTACAGAAAAGATATGCAGACAGACCTGGACATCGCTAGGACACACATGGCCAATCTGTGCTACTTTATATTCACCAGACACCCGAGCGCAAAAACAAAGCCCCGTCTCTGCCCTGGATCCCAGAGGCTGTGCTGCCAGAATTCTCCCTGACCTATGACAAGGCAAGCTCACGAGAAGGGTGGGCAGCATTTTCCTGGTCCTTTCGAAGCTCACCTTGATTTGATGACAGGGCAGGCACTAAAAATACATGTGATCAAAGGCCCACAGGCAATCTGACACGCCCAGAACAGTGAACCGACCAGGGCTACCTGCCCTTCACCCACTGCAGATGCAGAGACAAAGCTATTTCTGGAGATGCGAGCCAGAAAATGGCCCTCTTTGCACCCAAACAGGATACTCACGTGATTGTATTCCTCTATGCGGTACAGCTGATCAGGTGTACACCTCTCCAAAACGGGTTCGAGAACAGAATATGGGACGCCACCCACTTCAAAGATTGCTACGGAGAATCAAAGATGAAAGTGTTGAACACCGGCCAGGCCCCCCAATGCCACAACGGGCTTAAGAGCAAGAGAAAAGCGTGTGACTTACAATCGATGTTGTTTTTAAGTACCCGGATGCACTGCTGGTGCAAGGTCATCATCTTGGGGAGATAGGCGCACTTGGAGCCAGAGTACACCTGCATCTTAGAATTCATTCTTCGCCCAGTGAAGCCAGTTTCTTCCTCTTCCTGAGGTGAAGAGAGAGCTGAAGGGCAAGGAAAACAGAACTGCGCATTACAGGGGGCACCCGGCTGTGTAGTGAAAGCTCTCCTCCTCTCCCCCTTCTTCACCCTCCCCGTGACTTTTCTCAAAGGCAACCAATGCTCCCAGTTTTGTGTGTGTATTCTTCCAGAGAGCCTATGCCAAAATAAGTAAATATGTATTTTATTCCCTTTTCCACCCATTAAGAACATCCCCACTATCAACTGTTTTCATTTACCACATTTCAGAAATCATCCTATGTCAGACAGAGACTTTCCCACAGTTCTTACAGCCGCCCAGGACGCCGCTATGGGGATGACCACGGTCCGTGTGGTCGTCTCCTGCCAAGGGGCACTTATGTGGCTTCTAATTCTTTTACTCTTAAAACTAGACCTTTTTTTTTTTTAAGATACAAAGCTCATGTAGAACATAAGCGTAGCTAGTAACAGCAGCAGCTAAGATTTACTGAACACTCAACCATGAGAAAAACCCAGAGCTAAGAGCTTTACCAGCATGATCACTTTTTAATCCACTTAATAAGACAGATACAATTATCATGCCCACTTACAAAGCACGACACTGAAAGCCAAGGAAATTATTACCCAGGTTCATAGAACCTGAAGCCAGAGCTGGGATTCACACCCAAGCCATCAAACTCCAGAGCCTAAGAGGCTAGGAAGTTCACCAAAGTCTCAGGACACCATGAGTAAATTTTTCAAATTTTTTCCATTCAGAAGGGAACACAGAAAATTACCTTTTCGCTTCGGTGCGAAGGAGGACATCAATTCCAGGGTAGGAAGCGGCCGGTAATTGGCCTGGATCATGGGTAGCGGGAGGTCTGGCAACACCGGCAAAGCATCAGTGGGGACCTGTGGCGAGGAGACCCGTAACTGGACAGCCCCGTGTACCAAGCTGCTCCCGGGCCTCCAGCCGACTGCCGGCAGTGCTGGCTACACACACAGCTCCCTTAGCGGACCCAGGCTGGAGGAGGGCCGCTGTCAGCTCTGACACCACCCAAGGCACGACGCACACCTAGACAGGCCCGGCACAATGGGACAGCCCAGAAAACACTCATCTCGGGTACTGGCTGCCCTGGCAGCACTTCCGGAGGCCTGGACATGGTTACTTCAAACTCAAATTCAACAGGCCACGTGAAGGCCAGCCAAGCCCGATGGCGGCGGCCAGGTAAGTGCCGGGAGCTCCAGGGCCCAGGTGCTCTGTCCGGAAGCCGCCCAGGGGCTGAAGGGCTTACCTTCTTCAGCTTGGCTGAATCGGCTCCGGCTGCCTGCAGCTTCTCGGACTTGTTTTCATTTACCTTCGGTAATTTCTGAATCGAGTCCGAGTTTTTATTAGTGCTTTTCGAATCGTTTTTTTTCAGTCCTTTTTCTCCAGGAGTCGTGGTCGAAGCTTTCACAATCTTCTTCTTTTTCTTGCGGGGCTGGTCGTAGCTGAGGTAGGACTCAAAGGACATGGTGGGCTGCTCAAACTCATCGTCCCCATCTGCCTCCTCCACCTTAGCGAGGGAGGGCTTTTTGTCCGAACGGGAAGTTTTTACTTTCCCTTCTGGGGTTTTCAGGTTGTTAGAAACCCTCTCTTTCACCTTGGGCAGCGGGTCTCCCTTCCCTACATCGCAGCTGTCTGGACTCTGCTTATTTTTGTCCGATTTGGTTTTCTCTGGGTCTCTGTGCTTTGGCTTGTTTTTAAGGTGGTTGTCTGAAGCAACTTCCAAGGGGGGTAAGGACTTCTTCTTGGTGCTGCCCTCTTTCTCCTTCTCTTTCTTGACACCAGAGGGCGGCTTCTCCTTTGCGCTATCCCCGGAGAGCGGCCTTCGGTTTTCCTCTTTGGAGACGGACTTGTGGGATTTCTCTCTGCTCAACGACGACTTCCCATCTCCCCTGGCATCCGCGGGACGTTTTTCCTTATAAGGTCTGTGCTCCTTATTCTGACTCACAACAAGCCCTTTCCCCTGGGGGTCCCCCAGGTGCCGGTCCTGGCTGACCCCCAGTCTGTCCTGAAAGGCATTACTGTGGCCTTTCCCAGGCTTCTGATGTGAGACAAAGGGCTCGTGATCTTCCTCTGGGGATCTGTAATAGTCCATGGACATTTGATGGGGACTGGCAGACGACGGAGGGGACTGGACGTGGCCATAATCAGAAGATTCGTGATCCGAAGAGTAAACGGGGGAAACTCTATGGCACCTCTTCCTCTCGTCCCTCCTCTCTTGAACATGAGACACTTTGTGAGTTCTCTCAGGTTCCGACAGTTTCCTATGCTTTTTCTGCCTGTGATCAGGACTATAGGATTGGCTACTGGAGGCTTTCCAGTTTTCATGGCAGTCCCCCTCCATCTCCTCCTCCTTCTGAACAGCATCTCTGGGGCGCTTTCGGGAATTGCTCTTGTCAAAGTCCTGTTCATCAGGCTCAGAGTTTCTAAAATAAAAGAAAAAACAAGTAAGGCAGATATACATCTCAGTGTAATCCTTGTCATAGGACAAAGTCACAGAACCTGAACTCACAAAAAGAGGTGAAACAGATGCAGAGTTAGAAACAAGGTCTTGGGAAGTGGGTGAATGGATTCTGCTCTATGATCCTCAACTAGGTTTTGAGATCGGGAAAACAAATATTCAACAGACGGAAAATGATGCGTTTACCTACAGGATACAAAGATCAAATACGTTGAGGATATGAAAAATAATTTAAAGTTTATCAATATGGGGACATATTTAACTTGTTATGTTAAAAAGGGAGCTGGCACGCCTGGGTAGCTCAGTAGGTTAAGGGTCTGACCCTTGATTTCGGCACAGATCAGGATCTTACGCTTCATGGACTCAAGCCCCATGTCAGGCTCTGGGCTGACAGTGCAGAGCCTGCTTGGGATTCTCTCTCCCTCTCTCTCTCCCCCTCCCCTGCGCAGGAGTGCACTCTGTTAAAATATATAAACAAACCTTTAAAAAAAAAAAAAAGGTGGGGGGCTATTGGGGCAGCTGACTGACTGGAACATGCAACTCTTGATCTCAGGGTTTGGGAGTTCGGGCTTCACATAGGTGTAGAGATTTAAAACTAAAATCTAAAAAAAGAAGGGGGGGAGCGGGCCATTATTTATATAGTTTACTCACAATCATATAAAAATATCTTTTAAAAAGAGGGTAGAGGAGTATCTGACTGTTAATTTCAGCTCAGGTCATGATCTCACAGTCGTGAGATCGAGCCCTGTGTTGGGCTCCCGCATGGAACATGGAGCCTGCTTCAGATTCTCTTCCTCCCTCTCACTCTGCCCCCACTCTGTGTGCATCCCACACTCTCTAAAAATAAAATAAAATAAAACAAAATAGTGTAGAAAGAAACATATCAAAATATTAATAGTGCTTCTGATTGGATGGTAGAATTACAAGAAATTTTTATTCTCATATCTATTTTTAAATATTTTTAAAAATCCTCTAATAATCACAATTTTTATGATCAAGGCAAAATAAATGTTTTTTTTTTTTTAATGTTTTATTTATTTCTAGGAGAGAGAGAGACAGCGTGAGCAAGGGAGGGTCAGAGAGAGAGGGAGTCACAGACTGAAACAGGCTCCAGGCTCCGAGCTGGCAGTCAGCACAGAGCCCGATGCAGGGCTCGAACCCACGAACCGCGAGATCATGACCTAAGCGAAAGTCGGACGCTTAACCGACTAAGCCACCCAGGCGCCCCCAAAATAAATGTTTTAAATAGAAAACAGGGAAGGAATAATGAAGAAAACGTATCTGTCTGTAAACATTCCAAGTACCAGATTTGATCCTGAGGTGTAGTAAACCTACAGAGTGACGAATGTTCTTACCGCTCCAGAGGAACCAGCTTCTTCCACTGGGCCACCAGGTCCCTGGCAAAGCTTCCGACATGCTCGTGTTTTCGCAAGCTATTCACGGTTTTCCCAACGCCAGTCTCCTACAAGTTTGACAGAAGAATTGTTAGAGGGTCGTGGTAGTGGGCTCACAACTTTCTGAAGAAATAAGGCCTCTTGCTTTGAGAAACTCCTTCCTCAAACATGTGTTACAAGCCTCAATACAAAATTACTTTGTGTCTATGCCTCCAACCTCTAATGACACACAGTAGCAAGGCACGCTAGACTCCTAAGAGGAAAACAACATATTAAAATACTTCTAGGGGGTGCCTGAGTGGCTTAGTCCATTAAGGGTCCAACTTCGCCTCAGGTCATGATCTCACAGTTCGTGGGTTTGAGCCTCACGTCAGGCTCTGCGCTGACAGCTAGCTCAGAGCCCGGAACCTGCTTTGGATTCTGTGTCTCCCTCTCTCTCTCTTTTTTTTTTAAATTTATTTTTGAGAGAGAGAGAGAGACAGCATGAGCAGGGAAGGGTCAGGGAGAGAGGGAGACACAGAATCTGAAGCAGGCTCCAGGCTCTGAGCTAGGGGTCAGCATGGAGCCCGATGCGGGGCTCGAACCCACGAACCGTGAGATCATGACCTGACCTGAAGTCGGACGCTTAACCAACTGAGCCACCCAGGCGCCCCTCTCCCTCTCTCTCTGACCCTCCCCTGCTTACACGGTCTCTCTCTCTCTCTCTCTCTCTCTCAGAAATAAAACATTGAAAAAAAATACTTTAGAACTTTAACAATAAATAACAAGAGTGGTTATAGCAGATGACAGGCATTGAGCTAAGAGCTTTGCATACAGTGTCTCGATGAGTCCTTCAAACAACTCGGCGAGGCAGGAATCTGTCCAGTTATTAGCCTAAAGTCAGAGAACTTGGATTTGAATCCAGGACTAACTGAGGCCAAAGACCTTTTAATTTTTTTTTTTTAATTCTAAGATAAAATTCACTATTTTAACATTATTTTTTTCAATTAGCAATAATCGTACCTCAGACAAACCTCATGGGCTATGATAACGCCACACTGTGCAAAGCTCATTTTAACCATTTCAAAGTGTGTGGTCTATTGGTTTCCAGAACACTCACAATACTGCGCGACCATCCCCACTGATTCCAGCGCATTTCCACAAACCTAAAAAAGAAACCCCATTCCTCCCAATTTCCTCCACCTCCCTACTTTCGGTCTGTGGATCTGCCTACTCTGGACATTTCATATAAATAGAACCATACACTATGTGGCCTTGTGTCTGGTTTCACTTTCAAAGCCCATGCTTTTAACCTTACTGTACAATCTCTCCCAGTGGGAAGGGGATGGAATATAGTTCTATAACATCTAACAGTTCTTACCGCAAGAATGTCTACTGTAATAGGCAAGGTAGAGAGTTTCTTCAAATATTTCAAGAGCTGTAGAGAGAATAAAATAAACATTAATTTCTGTAAAATCATAATCACTCACTGGAACATAATAATAAATATCTGACCGTTAAGTGCTTATTGTGTTCTAAGTGTTGTACAGTAATAAGTGTGGTTATTATCTCTATTTTACAAGTGTGAAAACAGGCTCGGAAAAGAGAAGTTACTTGCCCCAGGATGCAACAAGGGCCAGACACACGCAAGTCTGTGGCTTTAGATTCCCTGCTTTCGATTGCACCACCAAGGGGAGAGAGAAGGCTTAGAGAGAACCAAACCTACCAACGCTTAACAAAAGTCATCAACAACTATCACTGCCCCAGTTTTGAGAGAGAATTTCTGAGAAAGGTACCAGTTTAGGGAAATCACCCATGAACCCAGCACAAAGGAAAGTAAAAAGAAGAGGTTTCTCCAGGAAAAGGGTATCGTGTTTCCAGGAAGAGTCGCCGTTTAACAGAATTGTTTTTTTGATACAAATGGGAATTTCAATCCCTGCTTCAAGTTGCCGGAATCAGAGCTTTGCTGGCGCAAACGGTGAGCACAAAATGTCTGGGGAGATTAGAAAAGCGATCTTTTGGGTTTGGCCACATTTCCTTTTTGTAGTCCGAAAACTAGGTCAAAATCAGGAAAGCAGAGCTGCTGAGACAGAGTTCTGGAGCTGGAGACACGCTTCGGTTTGGCCCTGTCATCTCCCCGCTCGGCGATCTTGTGCAACTCATTAGCCTTGCTGAACCTCAGTGACTTCATCTGCAAAATAGGAACTGATCCTGTCTCTTTACAACGTGACAAGCTGTGAGGACTCGCGGAGACAAACCACGTGCGGTCCTGGGCCATGGTGCCCGGGACACCACAAAAGCTCCATAAATGCTTTTTTTTTTTTTTTTTTAAATAAATGCTTATTATTAATCATTTCATTCATCAACTGACAGCTCTTTAAATGTCTCCCCTTGATTGTCAACCAGATAGTCCCCAGCTAATTCCTACTCACTCCATTTCCATCCTAAGTCATTATCGGCTATGCCTCTTTTTAGGAAACAGTTCTGTGTATCTAAACATACTTAGCATTCAAGGAGAGCTGCAAGGTACAAACAGTTCAAAATAGTAACTGACTACCTTTACGGTTCAGCATCAGATAACCAGATCTGTGCCTTTTCCGTGTGTACCCGGTCTGTAATTAGTATGCCACAGTGCTATTAGGTGGAGCAGCAAGTATGTTTTTCTGGTCATTCTACTTCAATAATTACTCAACTTGGTCTCTAGGCAGAGCAACTGGATCACAAATGATAATCCTGTTTGGCTGGAAACAAAGGAGAAGCCAAGTGATGTACCTACAGTTTCACCTTCATAGCTGAATGAAAATGATCCTCCACTTCAAATCTGATTACCACTATCATCCATCCAACTCAAGATAAAGTTGATGTGTGTTTCCTGTCACCCAAGCTATGGGTGCAAAGATTAATGCTAACTCCACTTCTTAAAGGAAAATTTAGGATCATCGTAGAGGTTAAAAACGGGTTGTCTCCCCTATCGCCACTCCCTGGAAGGTATTTATATACCATCGTTTGTGTGTCAGCCACTATGCTAATAAGTTCTTACATGCGTTATGGCATTTCATCTTCATTAACCAATTCTATAAAGTGGATATTTTTCTCCCCATTTTAGATACTGAAACAGTCTGGTAAGGTTAGGTAACTTGCCTAATAAGCCAGCAAGTCAAATGTGTCTACAATAGCACAAACTACAAAGACTGGAGAAACATCTAACACAAGAACATGGTCCTTAGACAATAGGAAAAGAGGGGCACCAGGGTGGCTCAGTCGGTTGAGCGTCTGACTTCGGCTCAGGTCATGATCTCACGGTTCGTGGGTTCAAACCCTGCGTCGGGCTCTGTGCTGACAGCTAGCTCAGAGTCTGGAGCCTGCTTCAGATTCTGTGTCTCCCTCTCTCTCTGACCCTCCCCTGCTTGGGCGCGCTCGCGCTCTCTCTCTCTCTCTCTCTCAGAAATAAATAATTTAACGGGGGGGCGGGAAAGAAAATAGGAAAAGAAAACAGAACAGGCGCTTATGTGCCTGGAAACAAAGTAGAAGAGTTCTTCCTCAGCATTACGCTGTTAGACAGTTCAGAGTTCACAGAGCAAAGGAGGTCACCACAGAGAGCCCCAGGACGCCTACAAAGCCAACATACAAGGATGGGGCCAGAAGGCTCCGGGGGAATGTTCATCTCAAAGCCTAACACTAATTGGTAGTGTAAATGCTGCCTTTCTGCTTTGCTTTGGGTTAGCAGGTGTGACTCAAGAGCAGAGGAAACTAAAACCCTGGAGATTTTCAAAGTGATTTAGTGCAACATAAGAGCAAAAGGGCTCCAGGGCCCCTCTATTTTCAATGAGGTTCAAGAAAAAACAAAGCAACAAGGTAAAAGCACTTTGGGCATCCTCAGGTAGGTGGAAACTTGCTGTTATCAAACCAAGGGACCACCTGCAGAGTTTGCAAAACCTGATAATAGCTCCTTGAGAAACGCCAAACATTTGCACAGCACACACTTAGGAATCTCAGCTGTCCTGTGCACACTCCTTCAACCCAAAGAGCAAAAAGATGTTCACCATGTTGACCCCTTGCTCTCCACTTGCTATCTGTGTTCTTGGGTTTCCACATTCAAAATGTAACACGGGACAAGTAACTTTACCACTCCTGAAAACTTGTTTCCAATTAAATAGTAGGAGCCAAGTAACTCCAGTGTGATACCATTTCCTCAGGAAACCCCAGATCACGGATAGACTTAAAGTGGAAAACAAAGTTACAGTTTAACACAGATGTTTAATAGGAGTAAATCTATGAACGTATGTCTGGAATCAACCTTTTGGCTAATAATGGTTTGAAAATGCAAGTTAGCTGCAAATCACTACTGCTATATAATCATGGTGCAATTTCAAGAACAACCTGTGGGAGCTTGTTGGGTTAACAGAAGGTTGAGAAGGCCAGCATGCCAGCTTGCAGTTTTCCCCTCTGCAGTTAGCTCATTTCTGAATGCCAACTATTGTGCCCTTTGCAGAAAGAATCTCCCAACATTTTCTCTTCTTCATAATGCAAAACCAGAAGTTGTGCAGGATCTGCTATCTGGGAAGTGAAAGCCCAAATACTCACAATAATCACCAATAACTCAAGTAGGATGAGAGAACCAAGAAAACTTTTCCTAATAGGAACTTTCACGCACATCAACTATTAGAAAAACTACTACAAAATTTAAATGCCATTGGGAAAAGGACTATGGATACTACCTGGCACTTTTTTTTTTTTTTTAAACCTTATAGTAATAAAGACCACACTGGCAGGGAGGGGATAGAACAGAATACTGCTCTAAGGTTTTAAAAATCAGTCACATATACCTACAGTGTTCAGGAAAACCAGTTAGTGCTCAGAAATAATGACCACTTATTAGATGTCCACAAAGGGTTATTGTAAAAAGAAAGTTGTAAATATGTCTGGTCACTAGGTACTGAAGCTGCAACAGAATATGTAACACAAACCACTGAAAGCATTTGTTTTCACAGATTTAAAATGAAAATGGCTTCCTGAGCCATACCTCTTGGAGCTAGGTATGCATGAGAAATTAAAAAGTGGCCGGGTCAGTGAGCTACTGTGTACAGCTTTTAGAAGTGGAGACAAAAAGTCACCTATGACAGGCTCAGAACGAGGTGAAGAGAAAGGAGCCCTTCAAAAACGAAAAAATCTGTAGAATGGTGATTAATATCTACTTCCTACAAGGCTGGCCTTCCCCCTCTGAGTTGAGTCCCAGGAAGAAGCAGGTGAGCAACAGATTCAGCAAAAAAAAAAAAAAAAAGTCCCCACTGTCCGCTGCTGGTAAATGGATCAGAACTCAAATCTTACCACCACTGCATCTCAACTACCTTTCTCCATTACTCAGTCTTCAAAGGGCACCCTGGGGCTCAGAGACCCAACTCAGGAACAGCACACTCCAGCTAGAGTGCTCAGGGGGACTGTCTGACACCTAAGTGTTTTCATCAGTGTAGGTCAGTTTTGAAGAATTCTAACATCCAGACACTGTCCCAGACACTGAGAAGCCGGATAAAACAAAGTTCGGAGAGCGGGAGGAATGCATTTAACTTAAGAAAACAGTTTAAAAAAAAAACAAAACAAACCCCAAAACACTGGCTGAGGACAATTAAAAATGGTTGCCCGTCGTTCACAGCAACGAGGAAAGGTGGCTCTTACCTTCCCATCAAGGCCAGAAGGAAACGAGCCGCAACTCCTAACCTTTTTTTTTTTCCCTTGGTTTGTTCCCATTGCAACCTAAGTTTTCAGGCGAACCTACAGCTAGGGGACGCGACGTTTATTTTGTTTTGTTCTGAAAGGGCTTCCCTGAGAAAGCGAAAAGGTCCACGTTCCTCTATCAAGCCCGAGAGCCATAAAAACGTCTTAGAGACGCAGGACCACACACCGAGCCTAGACCCACCAGAGCCCAGGCAGAGCCCGGTCCTTCTCCCTCCGCACACACACCCGAAGACACAGCAACCGGACGCATCTCCCAGCGAGAGGATCAGCCCCCGCGAGCTCGCCCCGCGGGGAAAGCTGGCCCGGGACGCCGCCGGAGCGGCCCTGGGGGCCCGGCCGGCTCGCCGCGTCCGCAAGGAGCGCGCCCCGGCCGCCGGGAGTCCGCGGGCGCTGCCGTCCCGGGCCCGGGAGGCGGGGACGCCGGGGCGGGGGGGGGGGGGGGGGGGGGGGGGGGGGGGGGGGGGGCGGCGGGAGCCCGGGCAGCCGAGGCCCCGCGCCCTCCGTGAGCCCCCCGCCCTCCGCGCGGGCAGCGGCCAATGGCCGCGAACTTCCCGGCCCAGGCCGCAGCCCGGCAGGGCCTGGCCCCGGGTCCGAGCCCCCGCGGCCCGGGCCGATCGGGAAGGCGCCGCGCCCGGGCCCGCGACCGTTACCGGGCCGCGCCGCGCCCCAACGCCCGCCCCGCTCCGCGCTGCCCACTCGCTCACCTTCTTCGGGTCCGGGTTCGCGGCCAGGCGCGCCTGCAGCTTCTCCACAACTTGGAGCGCCGACTCCGCCGCCATCGCTGTCACTGGCGCGGCCTCCTCGCCGGAACTGGGCTCGCGTCGCGTCCTCGGGCCGCAGCTCCGCCCTCCGTGCATCCCCGGCGGAGACGGAAGCGACTGGCCCCTTCCGGGCCTCAGCGGCGGTGCAGTGGGGAAGGGGGGGGTTCGCGCGGGGCGCGGGGGGCCGGCCGGCTGCAGGCCCCGCCCCCAGGGTCGGGGGCTGGGTCCCCGGCTCCGGCTCGGCGGCCGCGTGCGGGGCGCCGGGCCGCGTGGGCCACGTAACGCCGCTTGGGTCCTCGGCGTGCGGAGCCCACGGCAGGCCGTCCTCTCCGCTGTCCAGCCACGGCGGAATGCAGCCCCCGCGCCGGACCCTGGCTTTAAGGCTCACCCTCGCCACGCCCCCGGACGGGGCGTGGGCGCTGGGAGCCACGCCCTGATCCACACCTGTCACCGGTTCCGGGCGGGTCCACAGGGAGTCGGCAGAGCCAAACTGCCACTCTGGATTGAGCGCAGAACCACTCTGGGTTGAGCGCGCTAGGGGCCGATGGTTGGCCGGGCTACCTTAATTTCACCCTCCTGCGCAACCCCATTTTACAGATGAGGAAGCAGGGTCAGGGAAACCAAATTAACTTGCATGTGGTCACACAACGGGAAAGAGATGAAACTGGAATTTAATCTAAATGGTTTGAGGTCAACTATGAGGACACATCTCTGAACAGATGGAGGAATTGAGGGCTAGAGGGAGAAAGGGATTTGTGAGAAGTCAGACAACTTGGCTACAGGAGGTACTGTAGGTACCAAATAAATACATCTTGGATGAACATCTTGAAAGGTTGTTTCCTCTGAAGCAGTAGGGTCTGAATCAGACCAGCCCAAGACACCATCCTATAAGCACTAAATTATACTATAAGCGCTAACAAAAGAACAAGCAAACAGCTGAAAACTAAAAACATCAGCATTTATTACATCTTGTTCAATTAGATCAGATTAGATCCTAATCCAATCTCCAGCAGCAATTTGGCAATGTACTTAGTCTGACCTTTCACCCAATATGGGAAAGCCCAGAGATCCTTCCAGATCTCTCAGCTCTGGACAAGGCGGGGAAAATTATATATGTATACGTGTGTGTGGGTGGGTGTATACATATATTTTTTTCTTTGCATTCTAAGTTCTGAAAATGAGCTTTCATTCACTCACTATGCTGGGAAGCCCTCCCTACTGTGTTCTCACCCCTCAGCTTGGTATCCCTCTCTACAACTGACCCGTTTCAGGGTGTAGATAGATTGTCAATTTATTCTATCTTGCCACTGGGATATTTGTCAAGTACAGTAACCGACCTGTCCAACTTTAAATCTCTGCTACCCAGCACAATACAGATGATATAATCAGCACTATATAAAAAGTCCATACAAGTGGTGCCTGGGTGGCTCAGTCGGTTATGCGTTCGACTTCAGCTCAGGTCATGATCTCACAGTTCGTGAGTTTGACCCTGTATCCGGCTCTCTGCTGACAAGCTTGGAGCCTGGAGCCTGCTTTGGATTCTGTGTCTCCCTCTCTCTCTACCCCTCCCTCCCTCACATCCTGTCTCTGTCTCTCTCAAAAATAAACATTAAAAAAAAATTTTTAAGTCCATATAAGATTAATGGCCACCCACTTGGTGCCCTAAGACTGAACTGTGGGGTGTAACAGAAAGGGCATCAAACTGGTCGTGAGGGGACTTGGGTTCCGGTCCTGGCCCTAGAGTTTCCCTCCTCTCCACAGCAAATGGTTTAACATTTTAAATTCCTTCCATTTTGAAATTGCATCACTGGTGTAATGGAAAACGGGCCGATTCTTGAAGCAGAATTGCTGACTAACCGACCTGGCATATACTCGGGGCACACGGAACATATTGTGCATGTTACCTAGGGAGAGCTCAACAGCCACACAGAAAAGGAACTATCCACACTGCTGAGGATTGCTGGAGAGGCTGCATCCCGCTCCTCTGCCCCCCCAATGTCAGCCAGAGTCAGACTTACCTGCAAAGTAAAGAACTCTTACACGTGGCTATATAAATACTTCTCTGGTCAGTAAATTATGTGTCATTCTGATCTAAAAGAAAGTTTTTAACCGGTTCCAAAAATGGTATTCTCTATATGCTCATGAGGGATTACCATTGTAATCCTTGGTTTACACATGGGTGTTTAACACCAGCATGAGTTCCCTAAGGTCAGAGGCTATTTTGTCCATCTTGGATCAACAACACCTAGCACACAGGTAACACCCCATAAAGGTCTGCTGAAAATCAAACTACCTATTATTAAACTTGAGGCCAGCCCAGATTATCATCTGACAATTTGAGGGGAAGTCCCTAACTCTCTTATCTGCTCCTCTGTGCGAGGACTTAAAAAAGGTCCATCTTATTCTCATCAGAAGGTAATTTTAAGACTCTACTGGGAGAGAAAGATAGGAATCTTCTGCTAGGCACACTTTAGAGCTTTTGCAACATGCATGGTCTATTTTTATAATGAAGATAACTTTTTCTTTTAAAGATTTTATTATTTTTAAGTAACCTCTACACCCAACGTGGGGCTTGAACTTACAACCCCGAGATCAAGAGTCGCACACTCTGCTGACTGAGCCAGGCAAGTGCCCCTCTAATGAAAATAGCCTCAAGATATTTTAATTTTGGAAAAGAGCAATCTCAGGCGGATTGGTACTACAGTCATTTAACACACTGAAAAACAAGTGAAAGAATAAAAGACGACCAATCATCTTGTCCTCAACAGCAGAAAAGAATCCTGGCCTTTCGAGGAATGGTCAGGTGAAGCTCCACGGGCTGAACAGGGTGTTGAGTGAGGAATATTGGTGGAGGTAGGGCCCCCCTCTGGGACCTCTCCAGCCCTGTGCTCTGCCATTCCTCTATCTCACTTGAGTAGGCGACGTTTGAGGTGGGTTGGATGGTGGGTGTAAAGGATGCAGGGTTGAGGCTCAGTGACCACCTGAGTCCCCCCCGAACTGTACCAATGCTAACAGTGGCTTCTGGTCCAGTTACTTACACTGGCTGAAATGGTTTCCTCCTACTTTAGAGATTTCTTGTGAAGCTTATTAATATGTCATGTTAAGCAACTGGTATACAGTAGGATTTTTTTTTCTTTCTTTTTTTTTAAGCAGCAATTATTAGGGAAAATTCATTCCCTTGGTAAAGAGAATATTGTGCTCTGCTGTAAAGGAGAATATAAAACCCTCCATCTGGGCAGTTTCATTCTGCACAGCTGTAGCCACTGTTCTCTTCCCCAGTGGGCTCATTTTTTCTGAATTGACTACATTCATCTTTGTTTTACATCCTTCCAACATGCTCAGTTGCTTATTTGCTTAGGGATGGCATCTTGCTTGGTTTCGCCAGCTGGATTCACCCTCCTCAAATACAGCAATGCAGGCAGAGACTGCTAAAGACAGGGAACGGGGGCGCCTGGGTAGCTCAGTCGGTTAAGCCTCCGACTTTGGCTCAGGTCATGATCTCACGGTTCGTGGGTTCGAGCCCCGCATCGGGCTCTGTGCTGACAGCTCAGAGTCTGGAGCCTGTTTCAGATTCTGTGTCTCCCTCTCTCTCTGACCCTCCCCTGCTCATGCTGTGTCTCTTTCTCAGAAATAAATTTAAAAAAAAAATTTTTTTTTTAATTAAAAAAAATAAAGACACGGAATGGTCTGAGATTCGAAATCCACACTTCTCATAGACTGCCGTGAAGGTGGATTAAACGTTTCCCTAACAACTTTAAAATATCAGGCCTAGAAAATCTGAGGCCCTTTGTCTAAGGAGGGCTGACTGCAGCATTCTCTAATGCCCATGGACAGTGGTCCACTGGGAATCTGTATTTACCAGGAAAAGAAGCTATCATCAACATTTTTTAAGTAATAGGTAAATACTTTGATATTTTTATACTATATGAATTTATATAAATTGTATCTAGGTAGTAACCTAAATGCCTTCTCTTTGCTCTTTATTTTATTTTTGTTGTAGCGTTATCACAATTTGAAATCACCTTCTTTAGTGAATCATGTTTTTATAATCTCTTCCCATTATGTGAGCTCCATGAGGCATCACTGTGGATAAAACGGTATCTAGAACATAGCAGGCACTCAATAAATACTGACGGATTTGAATAAAAGATCTGCCTCACAACACCGCTGAGATGGTGGGTGAACACACCTGGCAGAGTGCTGTCAACCAATAATGTTACCTTAATTAATCCTCATTATACATTTCGCAGATGAGGACATTGGTACCCTATGCCCCCAGTCCCCAAAACTTAGACTGTGGTTGTGGTTTTGGCCGAAAATGCCCTTCGAAGGAAGTTGTCCAAAAACATGTGGAGAAGTGACCAGCGCTGGGTATTTAGACATGAGTGCAGGCTGGAAGAAGTGCCACCTGCCTTCTCGGGGGGTGATCCAGCTCTGCCAATCCTCTGTGTCACCTCTCCCCCGTCAACAATCTCATGAGGCTTCTTAAGGAATGAGAACCCAAGGCTCAAAGAGGCTGATCAACTAGCTCAAATGTGGTAAGTGATAAACCCAAAATGTGCTCTGCTCAGCCCCAAAGCCCACCCTGGCCTGCGCCCATGTCTATATGCCTATTGCTGGTCACTTCGCCTCCATCCATGACTCACTACCTGACCCTGTCCAGCCCTGTTACCCCGTCTGTTAACTGAGGAGGGCTGATCAAAGTAATAGTGGTTATAACAATCCCAATTCCAGGCACTTCCAATATGCCAGGCATTTTGCTAAGCGATTTGCATTAACTGTCAACTTTACCCTTAATCCTGCAAAACAGATCTCATGTAATCTCCATTCCACAGATGAGGAAACTAAGGATTTGGACCTAACAGAATGTGGAAGCAGCACAGTCAAAGCCATGTCTGTCTGGCACCAAAGCTCAAGATTTCTTGATTCCACCTTCTCCTTGAAATCCCTACTGCCACGGACATATTTGGGCTCTTAAATGATGTCCACTCTCTCAGACTTTCCAGCTGCAAACTCCTCAAACAATCCCTTTTATTTAGGCAGAAATGGTGGGCAACAGGATCTAGTTTTGTTTTCAGAAGCTCTTTTTATGTCAAATGAGTTTTTTCCATTTCAATATAAATAAATTTATCTAAGTAAAAAAGTGAGTCTCTATATAATATCAGTAGGAGGGGCGCCTGGGTGGCTCAGTCAGCTAAGCGTCCAACTCTTGCTTGGTTTTGGCTCAGGTCATGATCTCACGGTCGAGCCCCGCTTTGGGTGAGCATGAGCCCCGCTTTGGGTGAGTTCAGGCACTGGTTCAGGTGAGCTAAAGCCCC